TGGCTGGGTGACTTTGGGCCAATCACCAGGAGATCGGGAGTTCTAGTCCCACCTTAGGCAGGAAAACCAGCTGGGTGACTTTGGCCAATCAGCAGGAGATTGGGAGTTCTAGTCCTGCCTTAGGTATGAAAACCAGCTTGGTGGCTTTGGGCCAATCACCAGGAGATTGGGAGTTCTAGTCCTGCAAAGAGAGATGGGGCTACAAAAGCCAAGTCTCCTGCCTTCCTTTCTCCCTTTTCTGCCACATTCACTCAACCTTGGTACAGAGGCAGGGGTTCTAGTCCTGCCTTAGGTATAAAAGCCAGCTGGGTGACTTTGGGCCAATCACTAGGAGACTGTGAGTTGTAGTCCCACCTGAGCCTTGAAAGGCAATTGGGTGACTTTAGAGCAATGACTCTCTTTTGGCCCAACCTACCTCACAGGGTGGTTGTTGTGGTGGGGAAAACAAGGGCCGTTAAGTCTCCTTGCCTCCTTGGGTTATTTGTAAAAATTACGAAGGCAGGATATAAGGCTGCCAGACCTTGTTGGGCGCACCAGGTATTGTAGCATATGCCAGCTGGCACCTCCTAAATGGGCTGAATCCCGGCTCCATTGGGGCACCTGGGGCAGGAGGCTGTGATTTGGCTGCTCCTAATTTGCCATGAAGAGGAGGGGGGTCAAGCTATTCTGGAAAGCCCCCGAAGGCAGAATAAGAAACGATGGGTGGAAACCCATCAAGGAGAGAAACAACTTAGAACTATGGAGAAACTGCCTGACAGTGAGAACAATTAACCAGGGGAACTGCCTGCCACCAGAAGTTGTGGGAGCTCCGTCACTGGAGGTTTTTAAGAAATACTGGACAGCCACTTATTTGAAATGGTATAGGGTCCCTTGCTTGAGCAAGAGGTTGGACTAGATGATCTCCAAGTTCCCTTCCAGTTATTCTAGTCTATTCTATTATTTCTGTTCTATTCTGTTCTGTTCTGTTCTATTCTTTTATTTTTGTTCTGTTCTGTTCTATTCTAATCTGTTCTGTTCTATTCTATTCTGTTCTGTTCTAATCTATTCTGTTCTGTTCCGTTCCGTTCCGTTCCGTTCCGTTCCGTTCCATTCCATTCCATTCCATTCCATTCTATTCTATTCTATTCTATTCTATTCTATTCTATTCTATTCTATTCTATTCCATTCCATTCCATTCCATTCCATTCTTATTCTATTCTGTTCTATTCTAATCTGTTTTGTTCTGTTCTGTTCTAACCTGTTCTGTTCTGTTCTATTCTATTCTATTCTATTCTATTCTATTCTATTCTATTCTATTCTATTCTATTCTATTCTATTCTATTCTTATTCTTATTCTATTCTATTCTTATTCTACTCTACTCCATTCTTCATTCCATTATTCTATTCTGTTCTGTGCTAAGCTATTCTACTCAACTCCTATTCTATATTCCAGTTTCTATTCTATTCTATTCTATTCTATTCTGTTCTGTTCTGTTCTGTTCTGTTCTGTTCTATTCTATTCTATTCTATTCTATTCTATTCTATTCTATTCTATTCTATTCTATTCTTCATTCTATTCTATTCTATTCCAAAGCAGGAACCCAGCGGGGAGAATTCCCACTGATCCCCCCAGGGGGCTCACCCATTTCTCTGCCTCCCCAGGGCCGCACAGTTTTCTCGGAGGAGCTGCCCGAGGACACCCCCAAGGCGCCCACACCGAACCACCGATGGTTGCAGCTGACTGATGTGGACAGTAGGTTTCTCTTCACCTCTGCCCCTCCCCCACACTGGGGCTGGTTCAGCCCAAGAGGGGGGGGGTGCAGCTGGGCCACTTCCCCCCTCTCCCCCCCCCTCAGCCACAGAGGCTGGCAAGGGGCACTGCCAGGGTTAGGGCAGGGACAGAGTCCAAGGCGGTCTAGGAAGCCACTCGCTGGAAGCAAAGGGGGGCGGGGGGGCTGGTGTGCTTTGCAGTTCAGTCCCAAGCGAGCATGAAGGGTCCTGGGTGTTCTCTGAGCTTTTCTTGCAGACGTCTCATTACCCAGCTAGGTAACATCATCAGTGCTGATGCTGTTGCACCAAAGATGTTACGTAGCTGGGTCATGAAAGGTCTGCAAGAAAGCCACCAAGCTCAGAAAGCATGAAGGACCCCACAGTCCTCCTCCTCCTCCTCCCCCCTTCCAAATCCAACTCCCTTCTAGCACTGGTGATGTTCCCTAGTTGGGTCACGAAAGGTCTGCGAGAAAACAACCCAGCTCAGAGAGCATGAAGGACCCCACAGTCCTCCTCCTCCTCCTCCTCCTCCTCCTCCTCTTATTCCTCCCTGCAAACTCCTCTCTCTTCCAGCACTAGTGATGTTCCCTAGTTGGGTCACGAAAGGTCTGTAAGAAAACCGCCAAGCTCAGAGAGCCCCAAAGGAGACCCTCCCCCCATTTCCACCCTGAGCCACCTCCCCCTCTATTGCTAGCAAGCGAGCTTCTCTGCCAAGCTGAGCCTGGCCAATTGGGCTGGCGCCTGGAGGGGGGAGGGGAGGGGCCTGGGGCCTGGGGGAGGGGGGGCCTTTCAGCCCGGGGCAGCAGCTCCCCCTCACCGGCCTTCTTCTTGGCCTTGGCAGGCAGCTCCGAGAGCGACCGAGGAAGCCCCTCCGAGGAGGAGAAGGAGGACCCGGGCTGGGAGGAAGCCCCCACCCCACTGACGGAGTTCCTGGCCTTCAAGCGCCAGGCAGCCATGGCCGAGAGGGAGATGCTGTGTGAACAGGTTGCCCCCGTTCTCCTGGCTTTGGGGGGCTGGGGGGAGAACAGCGGGGGCCTGAAATGCCCCCTCGGCTGGGAGGAGGAAATGCTGCCCCACCCCGGTCCAGCTGCTGCCTCCTCCTTGCTGAAGGAGAATCAAGATGGCGTCCCTGGGGGTGCCGGTCTGGCAGGTGCAGGGAAGGGGAGAGGCCTGTCCTGGGGAGGGGCACATTTCACCCGCGGCCTCAGGAGAGCCACAACCTGCAGCAATAGCGATTTTTTTGGGGGGGGGGGCTGCCAGAACTGGGCCCTACCTTCCTTTCCCCCTTGATACAGAGGCAGGAGTTCTAGTCTCACCTTAGGCACAAAAGCCGACTGGCTGACTTTGGCCCAATCACCGGGAGATTGGGAATTCTAGTCCCACCTTAGACGGGAATAGCCAGGTGGGTCATTTTGGCCCAATCACCGGGAGATGGGGAATTCTAGTCCCACCTTAGACGGAATAGCCAGGTGGGTCATTTTGGCCTGATCACTGGGAGATTGGGAATTCTAGTCCCGCCTTAGACGGAATAGCCAGG